GTGGCTCAGTCGTTAAGCGTCTGCCTTCGGCTCAGGTCATGATCCCAGGGTCCTGGGATCGAGTCCCACATCGGGCTTCCCGCTCTGCGGGAAGCCTGCTTCTCCCTCTCCCACTCCCCCTGCTTGTGTTCCTGCTCTCGCTATGTCTCTCTCTGTTAAATAAATAAAAAATCTTTAAAAAATAAAAATAAAAAATGTCAATTATATTTCAATTAAAAAAAAATCAGGTGACAGAGCAAGCTATGGGCTATGATCAACCCCATGCCAAGAATCAGGAAGAGGACATACAATTATCTCTAGAAAAGTCGTGTTGTCTGAGGTATAGTTCATCAAACTGTGTATGAGGGGAAGACGGCCCTGCATGTAAGGACTATCAGAAAAGGGAAATTTTCATTAATCAGTATTTAAAACTGTCACCTGGCTAAAATAATCTCCTCTCTCAAATATTCTCTGCATGCTCCTTACAAGCTCTCTACAATCAACCACTCTGTGAACAGAAAATCTCATCCACCTCTCATCTTCTTCTGACTCACTGGGCCTGCTCCGAAGTAAAATGGGGCAGGCAAGGTGGGAGCCACAGATATGCCCTCTCCCCAGAATAAGTCACAAGTTTTAATCTGCATAGTCAACTGAATTTTAGCTTGGAAAACACATCTAAATGGGAAAATTCCCAACTGTTCTACATCAGCAAGTGTAATTTAGCAAGGCCACAATCTGTCTAAAAATCTGTTAAGTGCTTAGGCTAGAGTCTCTGCCAGTTCCATCCTCCATTTTTTTTTTTTAAACACAATGAAATATTGTAGGACTACACTCTGAAATTCCCCTGAATTGTAACATACTATATGTTCATGTTTCTCTGCATGATTTAAGCCATATTTCTTGGTTGTTCAAATACTAAAATCTGAAATATGACATACAATGAACTACAAAACTAAATAGCCAAGAATTTAGTGATGTTGGAAGAGTGTTCTTAGTTACCTGAAGCATTAGAGTATTTCCTTCGTTTAGCAGTGTTGTGAGTCTGCTGAGAACTCTTGCATACACAAAGGGCCAAGGGCAGATGACATTTAACCTAACACCCAGACCGCCCTCCAGCCTCTGTGTCCACCTACAGTAGGCACTGACATTGATAGAAATCTGCAGGTACGTGCCCAGGAATCTCAGGAATTCAAAATAAATGATAACTAAATAAACAAATAAATTCCCACTTTGAGATGTATTGGCTTATATTTAGGAAGAAAAAAATAATCATTTTGTAAAATACTGTAATAAAATATGCTATTAACATACGGAGGTACCCGGTGGCATACTGGCAAGTCTCTTAACGGGTGTGAAGGCAAGGGAGCAAGCCCCTGGTTTGTCGCATTTGCCAGTTTTTATGGTGTAAATACTTCCACCACAGCTGATTTCAAGCGGATTTCACTAAATGCAAAGTTGGGAAGAGACGCATACAGACCGGCTCTCCTGAGCTTGAGCACGAGCTGATACAAACACCCCACTGCAAAGATCTCATGCACTGCTACAGCTAACTACAATCCTACAAAAGAAATAAACTCTAGTTTCTAGGACAGTCTTGTGTGTTTTATTCTTTGCGGACGAATTTTCCATTCTGAAGCAATCTTTTAACCTGTGATGGTACATTTCCATCAGGAAAAAAAAAAGATCTTTACAATGTTGGAGACCTCATCCATCATGGAAATATTTGAGATTTCTTAATACTGAGAAATGCAACAAATTTGCTTTTTCTTTAAACAGGAATCTTTACATGTTCAAACTTAGTTCAAATCAAATGCTTATTGCTGAGTCCCCAAAAAAGTGAAAAGGAAAGGAAACAAACAAGACAGGACATTTTAATACCAATTTTAGAAAAAAATTAACCTAAGGCAACTTCTTAGTAGAGGTGAAGGATGATTAGGATCTAGTCAAGCGTACCTCCCACCACAGAATGAGAGTTCCCCACCTTGAAGCAGAGGTGTGGGTGTATGTTTGTATTTTGGTTTTAGGGGAGTGTCGTTTTGCAATAATAGGAATTTAGAAGGAGAAATCAAAAGCCACTTTTTGTGGTGCTTTCCACAAAGAGAGACTTTCTTCAAGGCTTCCCTTTATAAGGAAAACTAACAGAAGGAAATAAACTTATCAAACTGGAAGTTCAACGAAAGGGGGGAAAGAGTGAGCAAGAACAGCTCCAGCATTTCAACACAAGTGTAGCAAAGAAATAAAAGGAGTAACAAAAGAGCAGACATATACCCAAGTTCTGAGTCTGACTGCAGCTGGAGCACTGAGGGGTCTGTGTCCCACTGCAGGGTCCTAATCGTGCAGCACAAAGGAAAAAGAACACAGAGAATTAACAAAAGGAGAGGAAACCAAACCAAACCAAACCATGTCATTCATCAAGGCAATAGCATATACAATACATACACAGAACATCTCCCCACTTACCCCCTCCTCCATCCCCAGGTGCAAGGAAGACCCCGTGAATATCAAGTGACAAAAGGAAGCGAGGAATCTTCCTTCGCTTTGAATATCTGTTTCATACTGGAAGCTACAGTTGTTTTCATGGAAGGAAGCCTAGAACTAAATACTCCAACTCTACACACCTCTTTGCCCCCCCTTTTTTGTTTTGTTTTGTTCTATTTTCTACTCAAGCCTGATTGATTTGAGTATGTAAACTGGTTCATGTTTCTCTGAAAATCCAGAGCCCATCCACCCCAGAGCACCAAACATCTCTCATGGGGTGAAGAGAATCAAAGGCAAGGCTGCAAATGGGTGAGAGCAAGAGCATCTGGGGGGGGAGGTGGGGCCAGGTGGAGCCTGCCTTCAGGGTCTGCTAAACTTCTGGCTTCCACAAGTCAGTTACTGCAAGAACAATGCCTGGATTTCGAGGCTCATGGGTATTTTGTTTTTTATTTATATATTACACTGAGATGATCACCGATAATATCATTTGTCTGAGACACCACGGATATCTTACATCTTTTAAATATTTCACAAGAGACAGCACAAAGTATCAACAGTTACCAAGGCATTCAGTTTTCCATGTTATTTCTCCTTCAAAATAAAAGGGGATAAAGAAGCTCTTCTATAAACAGAGTGCATACAAGAACCTTTCTTAAGCCCCATCCCATTTGCTTCAACTAAGTGTGGCCCACAGGCCAGGATCACCAGCATCTCTTGGAGCTTGTTGGGATTGTAGGCTGCAGTCTCATCCCCAGACTCACTAACTCCACACGACGGTTTACTAAGGTCCCAGGCCATGTGCAGGCACCTCCAAGTTTGAGAAGGCCTCCTCAGTTTCCTTGTCTGTATAGACTTACTGTATCGACATTTCTCTGAGTCAAACCCTACCCGTGTGATCCTATATAGCTCCTCTTCCAAAGGTAGCAGAATGCAGTCATGGCTACCCTTACCACTCTGGCTGGGCTCTTGCCCTCTTATGAACGTCCCGAAACATGACAACTAAAGTCCAATGAGAACACTAATCTGCCACTGTTCCTTAGACCAGGGCTTCTCAAATTTCAGTGCACATACACATACTTGGAAATACCGTTGAAATGCAGATTCTGGTTTAGTAGGTCTGTGACATTTCTCACAGGCTCCTGGGGATATAGATGTTGCCAGCCTGCAGACCGCACTTTGAGGAGCAACGTCTTGACTTAGATCAGTGGTTTTCAAACTCTGACAAGGATCAGAATGATGTGGAGGGCTTACTAAAATACAGAATGCTGATCTCTAACCCCAGAAATTCTGATTCAGTAGGTCAAGGGTGGGGCCTGAGAATTTGTACTCTGACACTGACAAGTTTCCAGGTAAGGCTTCTAGCTGACCCTGGAGCCACGTCTACAGAATGACTGGGCCAGACTAGTGCTTTCATTAGTCAGCAGGCAGACAGCATCACTGATCCTCAAATATGTCAGCCTCTAAACCTGTGATTAACTCGAGCCTGGCTTAAGGCCCAGGATCCTTTCAGACCAGTTACATCAGAAGGTGCAGAGTGAGACCCAAGCATCTGTATTTCGGAAAATTCTCCAGGTGATTCTAACGTGCAGCCAAGGGTGAGAACCCCTGCTCCGGACTCTTCCTCTGCTCAAGGAAAGCAGGCCTTCCAGGTTCTGGATGCTGATTCCTTCACCTTGTTGGTGAATGTAATGGTTGTAAATGGTGGAAGTAACAGAATCCATTACAGTGATTCATAGCCGCTGTTCACGTGTCTCTGGGGATCAAACCTTTTATCTTTAAGGGCATCTCTTTGGCTATAGACAGAACAGCAGCCTCTGGCTCTGGCTGGCTGTGAGAAGCATTCCCCTGTAAGGGTTGGGATCAGCTACTTTGCCCTCAATTTGCCTGGAGGTTTCTGACGGGATGACCTTTTTTGACCTTTTCCACTTCTCCCAGGCAGGTGAAGAATGCAGCAGCTCCCAGGTGGTCTGGCTTTGTCCTGTTACTTATCGGACAGCTCATCTGAACTCACTGTATCCTTAAGAAGTAAAAATGATGATTCCATCAGAATCACTCACTTAAGGAGTCGACAGTTCAGCAGTCTGGAGTTGGCATGTACTTGGGCAGAACAACAAAGGTGGTCTCTGTAACTAACCCACTGCAGTCCTGCCCCCACCCAGTCACACACATATTATTCAGTAAAAGAAATCATAGTCATCGTCAATAATGAGCAGTGAGGCAAGGAGTCAAGCCAAGGATGCAATCAAATGTGCTAGTTTTATTTTCTTCTCATTTTTTTCATTGTTATCTGTGGGGTGGTCAGGTTTGCACAGAATGCACTTTTTCTTTGAAAAAGAACTTAAAGCCAATACTTTAAATGGGCAAAAGTTGTTTTTCTCTCCAAGGGTCGCCTAGAAATGTGTATTAAATGTTTGCTGAATTCCTTCTGTGCAAGCTTGCAGAGACACTTCTCCGTAGGGGGCAGGACCTTGGAGAGGGGCCACACCTGTTCCTGGAGGTGAGAGAGGTGCCTTTGGGGTGTGGCTCCACTGTGTGTCCTGAGGAAGGTCTCTGACCTCCGCAAAGTGAAGATGCCGGCCTAGAGACCCTTTAAAGCTTTTTTTCTGCCTGATATTTGAAAACATCAGATGATGATTAAACTGCCTTTCAGTTCTCTTTTCTCCAACTGGTATACTTTTCTAACCGATCGATATGCACCTTACTTTCTGACCATCTTAATATCAAGCTAGTGTATCAATGAAAATAAAATGACGGTTTCCCCTACAGCTTCCTGGGCAGTTTGAAATCTTGCCAGGTGGTTTATTTTTTTTAAATGAAAGAAGTAGTGAAATTGTAAGTGCAAAAACATATGTGAACATAATATACTCCCACAAAATATTTTCATATAAAAATCACCCTATTTACCATAGTAATTAGTTCTCGTTTTCCGTCATTTTTGGAATGGACCAATCAGTGCATGCAGGGAGAGAATATTCTTGTCAAGAGCATTCACTTATTCAATAAATATCTATTAAAGGCCTAATAGGTAAAATACTGTGATAGAGGATGGAAAGAATTCTCAAGGAACTTACAACTCTTATCGAGAGATAAAACATGTATAAATAGTTTAGTAGAACCAGGCAGAAAGTAAAACATAACATATGAGCGGCACCAAAGGTGTGCTGTGAGGCATGGGACTTGCACATAAGGATCTTGCATTTTAGTGAAGTAATGAGATGTATGAATATTTATACCTAATGATATACTGATAACCTATACAAAAAAAAAAAAGGTAATAGTTGTCATTACTTGCACAGGGCCTGGCATGGTTTAAAGTTTCAATAAATGTTAGCCAAAAAAATAAACAAATGCCATGAGAAAGATTAATAATAATGATAGCTATAATTTCCTTTCAATGAGTGTTTACTCTGTGCCAGCCAGCCAGGCCTTGGACTATACTTTCATTATTCTCTCAAGCCAGAGCAGGGAAACCCCCTTCCTCTGAAAAGATCAGAGATTCCATGCAACCTGGTTTTGGAGGGATGGGGTGAGGATTTGGACATAACAAACTCATTTTCATCAGTGCCTGGTTTGTTGGACTTCAGCCACTGAGTTGATTTACTGGGTCTAATGAGAGTTTATTATATTTTAGATGTCAATTTACCAACTTATCATGAGAATAATAACTTCCAGGAAGAGCAGTTATACAAGTCTGGTAAAGTCTTCTCTCCTTGAAGGCCAGCTTCCCGGGAAGCCAGATGACCAGCAGGGTCGTCTTTGGGATTGGAGAAAGTGCAGCTGAATGTTTTACTCCTACAACTTCTCCCTGCCTTATCCCCCATTATGTCTGCCTCTTTCCACGAGACCAGACATAGCCCCACGCTGTCAGAATCTCCCTTTTCCCCCATTACTGGGATGCCCAACAAAACCCTTTCTGATTGATGTCATCGTTCTTTAACTATGTCAGTTAGATTTTGTCTGCTGTTCCTATATGGAAAATCATCCTGGTGTTATTTGCTTATTTTTAAGAGCTGCATTTGCCAGTACTCAGCAGTTTTAGGTTATTTCTTAGAGGTTAACTCTCTGACGATCTAGGGGAGGATTTCTGACCTTGCATAGGGAAACTGCTGTTCGTACAGATCTTGAATAACCCAGTAATTCTCTACCTATTCTGGACTAAGGAGCATTGTCATGGTTTTATGGTCCCACAGTAGGACTGACAGTTCTGGATATTTCCCAACCTTGTTTCAAAATACTAGATACAGAAGCTTCCCACACCATGGAAAACAGTCATTCACTCGTATGACCCTACATATTCCAGACAATCTAGCCTCTGGCATCTCATCTAGGAAGGCCTACCATGTAACATATAGTTTATAATTTGGGAGACAATGTGTTTTTCATTACTTTAAAAAAAATAGACAAAATATCAAAATTCTTCAAATTAGCAGTGACCTAGTCAGGGACTAACTGAACTTTAAGTTTCTACCAATTCATCATTAACTTCTTATAAAATTCTCCCTTCCTTGGTCCAGTTTTATTTGCTCAGTTTCACTTTATTAGATAGAAGTAAACATTCAAAACCAAACCAAAACAACAATTCCTGGCCATGTGTTCAGAGTATAACTTAGGAGTGAAAGGCATGAAGTCTGTGTTGCATATACCTTGCTCCCTGATGAGTGTTTAACTTCTCCCTCTTCAGCTGTTACCAACAGTAAGTTGCTAGTTTCCATTCTTCTTTCCATCTTTATTAAACCTCTGAGTAGAAAGCCCTGAAATTCTTTCCTAAAGAGTGTCTTTGCCTTGACTTTTCTTTGGCTATGAGAAAGTGATGTCTGATAAATATTTGGAAGGCAGTAGTTAAGAACTCT